ACAGTAAGAAACAAAGTAGAGAAAAATAGTTTGTTTTGTCAATTGGATTTTAAAGTAATTGAATCAGCCTGTGTGGACTCTTGACAAGAAAAAAAAGAGAACTATTTAGAGCTTTGGATAAAACTGTGATTTCTTATAGTGTAAAGACTTTTTGTACATACGTTTGATTTGTTTTTAATATCTATTTTATAACAAGTAGATTGTGTGCTGTCCGTTTATTGTTCGAATTTATCACCAACAAGTCACAGAAACTTACTGTAGAAGAATCCAAGCCCACTCATATACATTAAAACCCCGAAAGAAACACGCTTTGAATTAAGTAGAAAATCATATAATCTTACTACAAGTTTTGAAACTAGATAAGTTATGCTGTATGAATTATTTTCTGTTTTGTTTTCTCCTTAAGTCTTCGGGAGGAAGAGTACAAATGCATAGCACTTTACCGAATCCTTTGCCGGATTAATCAAGCATGGGCTCCCGAAAAAAAGTAGGACCCAACCCTTCTGTGTTGGTTTTAGGTTCTGACTTCTATCAGCAATCAATTTCATATAAAAACTAGACTATGTGAAAATCAATATGTTAAAACCGAAAAAAAGAAAAAAAAACAACATTGAAAGAAAGTTGATAGCAATGTCATTTTCGATTGCAATGAATACTAGTGGCTCCAAGTTTTGTTATGTTGTTGATACTCTTAGGCGAGTTTTTACAATCTTCAATCTGGAAAGCATCTCCCACATGAACACTGAGTAACATTATGATATATTTGTACGCCTCATACAAGTTTCCATAGGCAGAAGAACACAATCTATAACTGCATAAATGTTTAAATGCACATGAAAAACAATTTCTACAAGCAACTTCATCACGAGCGGATGTAATTGAGGTTCAAATTCATCCAGTACGTCATCTTCTGTCTCTGTAACATCACTTTCATGTAAGTCTCTTTTCAAGTGTTTATAGTTGGAAGCAAATGACACCTACTCTTCATGGAGTGAAATTGAATCAATTTCTGTAATTGTTTCACAGAATTTTGCTTGCATCACCAATTACCAAGTTGAGAACGTGGGCATAACACCAAGTATGGACATCAATTGGACGTATTTCCTTCATTAGTACTTGTAAGCCATTGTATGCACTGTTCATATTAGCAGCCCCATCAAATGAGTCTCCAATGCAGTGTTTAAATCAAGTCCTACATCAGTTAAGGTTTCCTTTAGTAGTGGATACCAGAGTCTGTTGCATCAAGAAGGCGCAGAAGTCTTTCCTTGACCTGATCATCTACATATCTTAGAACAAAGGCACATTGGTCATGAGAAGAGATATCTTGTGTACAATCCATTTGTAATGAACAAATTCCAGCCTTCTTAGCTTCCATAGCCACAATATCTTTGATCATATTTCCAATCAAATTGCTTAAGAATGTAACCACTTTTCCTCTACCTCTCTTTGATGGTTCCCGCTTCTTTGTCTTTTGTGTGATATCTTTCAGATGATCTTTCAGAGCTGGATTATATTCTGACACCAAGTTAACTGCTTCTAAGAGATTTCCACGATTTTTAAAATGATCTTCATCAAACACATGCTTCTGAATATTTGCTTCGATAAGGCAAAGTTTGAAATCCGACGAAGAAAATAATGTCAATAATAATGCTCGTCTTTGAAGCACTTGACTCTGTCGGACTAACAGCTGATTATGCCACAGTCTGTGTTCAACCGTTCTTTCTTGGATGTGCAGGAAATAAGCTTGTGTTGAGTCCTGATGACATAGCGATTTTTCGTGCTCAAGTAACCTTGTGGTGATGTGTCCCCAGTCTGAGGTCTGAGCACCCTTCTATCAATTGATTATTACGATTTCTTTTAAATGCAAACATTAAACAAAATGAGCAATGCCAACTATTTTTCTCGCTATTATATGTCACCCAGGCTCGCTTGACATCATTATCATGACTATCTTTGCGACTGTAAATCACTCTGCTATGTAAGGTATATCTCTAGTTAGTCGATGCGATGAAAATTCCAGATTTTTTTTTAATAATATTTTTAGGCTTTTCAAAAACATCACTTGTTGAATGAGAAGATACACTTAGTTCTTGGAAATTTGAGCAGGAAACTTTTACAGGTGATTCTTGTGTAATCTGTGTTTATATTATAGTATTTTCAGTTTCTTTTTCAATCAATGTATTACTACCAACACTTTCTTCTGGAACATTTGAGGATTGAATCTTAAGAGTTTTTGTAGGAGAAGGTTGAATGGCCTTTGGTTGAGCTGATGGGCATGGTGATTGTAGAACAGTAATACCAGTTTCTTCTTCAATCTGTGTAGTAGATGTATTGGAAGTACCTGCATCTGTATTTAAATCACTATCGTTTTCTTTTGATGATTTAAAAAAAATACTAATATTAGTCCAAGTTTTCAACTTTTTTATCTCTTGTCTTTGTTTGCGTTTCTGAGCACCACTTCTGTGTATATATTTTTTCCACCTTCATCCATTTGTGTTATTTTTCAAAAACAAAACAATTTCTTAAAACAAAAATATTTTCATATGATACTAATATTAGACCAGAAAAGAGTAATTACTCATGATTAAAAAGGCTAGTAAAAACATCATGAACAGCATGAAAATAATAAAATTAAATTACAAATGTCAAATGCACAATAACAGTGAAAGTTCGAAACTTATACTTTTAGAACAGAGAACAATAATCTAATATTATATATTTTATAATATAAATAAAAAAATTAGGTAATATTGAAGAATAGTGTTAATTGTCGTTTTAAACTTTTTATTTGATGCAATAAAAATATTAGAAAATGTGTTAACATTTTTTCTTAAACTGGTTTACGGGCCCCTACCCCCACAGGCCCGCGGTCTACATCCTATCTGCCCGTATGTTCAGTCAGATGAGAACAGTAATATCTTTAGGGACTAGTACAACGGAAAAAAGACGAAAGATTCATATCTGAATGTTTGTTTACGCTAAAAGATAATAGTTTGTTTAACAGGGCGCCTGTTTCCCCTCTAACTTATGTATGTCTCTGAACAACTCTTTGTAGCATATTTAATTATTTTTTTTGTATTGTTTACGTGTTCAACAACACGATAATGTAATCGGGTGTGTGCCCAATTTTTATACTTTTGATCGATTAACGTTTTACAGAGACATTAAATAATGCTTTACTACTATGGATTTCTTAATTTTTAGTTCACCAATCTTGTATTTTATAACTGTAAAGAGCATTGGTAACCTCTTAGAGTTAGAAACAGAGATTCAAAACTGATAAAAAAAAACAACAACAAAAAAGAACACCCTTTTCTCTTGTGCCCTCTTGTGGCCAACAACTTAATAAAACAACGACTTTTCGAAGATATCTCTTAGACTGACGCACAACAGTTTGAAAAGGTTATCAACATACTATTTAGTTATCGTCATGACTGGTTATTGGATTGTTGTATGTGTACCAAAGGATGACGTTCCCCACAAGAACGCGGATTATAGTAAGTTATATGTTTTTTACCTTTCGCGACTTTATTGTCTAGCTTTCTTTTTAACTACTCGTTATGTATTTTTCCTAACGTATTATTAATACATACATAATTACAATACTTATATATTTCACTAGGTGTTGGTTAAGGTTAGTGTAATAATTGTTTCAGGAATACTAAATTTTAAAACACAAAACATAAGTAAATAATCGATATATTACACATGAAAAATTCGCGAATAACATCTCTTTATATTTAAAAATTAAAAGAACAACTATTACATTTCACAGAAATTTACTTTTCTAGAGACTTTAATGAGGAAGTTCTGTACAAAATGAAGTAAAAGTTAATATACAGTTCGTATAATACTGTTGGTATAGTTAATACTTTAAGGTTACTACTAAATAAAATATTGCGAAGGAAGTTTAAACCACTTTTCTAATTGTTTGTTTCAGAGTAATAGTTAGAAAATGTTTTAAATGCAAGAACCCTATGGTATCTTTTGCCCCACCTTTGTATTATCTCACAATAAAACACAGCTGTAGGAAACATTCATTATAAAGACATCAGGACTTTTAAACTGCTTACAACAAAAGTTCTAAAGTTAAATACTGACCAATACAATTCAAACTGTTCAGAGTGAAAAACAAACCCTGAAAATAAGCTGCAGAAATTATTCGTGACAACAACATAATGCTAGTAAACTGTTTGAGACATAAATAATTTGCTGTATTCTGTCTGAACCAACATATATGGTTATGTGAGTCAGTAAACAAAGGGACTAGTGAAAAAAATATTGGAAAAAAGTTAAAATACATGTCTATAACCAAACATGTTTTGAAAAACATATGTATGGACTGTTCTTTACGTTAAATACTTTTAGATAGTAGTTAAATTTGTCAAAAACAACTTTAGAAAATGTGTGGTAAAAGGAATGTTAACGGAAGATCTAATTATTTAAAGACGTTCATTAATTCTTTCTGGTATCAGATATTCTCAATGGAGAATACTTCAATGTTGTAAGAAGTTCAACTAGCTTCTAAGCATTTAAAAAAAAACATAGGTGTTCCTATGGTCAGTTCATTGTCGAATTTTAGTGTAAACAGAGTTGTAATAATACCGGACGATCTCCATCTCAAGCAGGCTGAGTAGTTTTATCAAAAGGAATTAATTTTGTGTCTACTCGCAACTGACTGGATGAATGTTGTACAAAGACAGACGTGGAAACATTCTACAAGCGGTTTCGTTTAAAGACATAGTTTTTCAGACGAGGCTCATATGAAAATAATGCAGCATTGTGAATATTAGTGAAAAAAAAGAAAAAAAAACTAGTTGCGACACATTCGTGCGTCCTCTTCAGTCTCAACGAAGACAACGTGAGACTGAAGAGGACGCACGAATGTGTCGAAACTAGTTTCTCTGATATCAGACTTCTAACAGGTTGTTCCGTTTACTGTGGTTTTTTCACTAATTGTTGTACACGATATTGTGTTCTTTTATTATTGGGAATATTGCTTCCAATATAACATTAACTCCGACCACGTCCAATGATACCCTTCCCGTTGATTCATTACATATCATACATACTAGAACAACATTCATTGCATTTGACCATTTCTAGTGTTTCGAAACTTTTACCAATCACTATCGTGTTAAAATCAATACTTTTAAACTCAAAAATATCTCTACAAGGTAAAATCCCATCAAAGGTGAGAAACTTGCTCTATCCACCTTTAAGACCCACAAGTACATTATTATCAAAGGTGGTGATGCTGTTGTTTGGCATAATGAAATGCCCATTCGAGATCTAACAAACAACTAAATGACTACATCTTCTAAAAACATCTCTTTCACAATCCTCTTCTCCATTTTTAGAAACTTATCCAGGACAGTATAGAAGAATTAATCAAATCCAACCACCTTCCCCCTCTGCCAAGAATCTTATGCTACAACACCCCAGAATTGCCCTTTTCTACATGTTACTCAGATTTCACAACTCCGGGCGTCCAGGACGCTCCATAATATCTGCTGTTTTCCACGTACATCAAGAGTATTTTTCAACTTTTAGTATACACTCTTCTTACATACGTTAAAGATTTATTTTCACTATGGATGTCCATTCTCTATACACCCTTATACAAACCATCTAGGCTGATCACACTTAAACAATTTATTAACTGAAGAAGCGAACTCTATTCCCACAAAGAGACATCATACTTCAGCTAACAGATGTGGTACTGACTTTCTCTTATTTTGGCTTTTACAGACAAACATATCAACAGTTAAGAGGAGTTGCCATGGTTACCAAATTGTGTCCATCCTATGTAAACTTTTTTGTCGGTTATGTGAAGAACAAATTCACAGAAATTCCACTCACAAACTCCCTGCAATTTCTTATCGGGAACATCGACGATATTCTGGCTCTTTTCACTGGGCACAAAGAACTCGAACTTTTGCTTAACAAACAAACAAACAAAAAGCAGTTATTTTAATTAAGTAATTACGGCTTCGGTTAATATCCCTTTTACCACACCTTTTCTAACCTTGTTTTTAACAACTGTCACCATTACTACCCATTTTTCTGTGTAAATAATATCCGTTTGGATTATTTGTTAATCCCTTTTATTTTATTGTATTACTCATTTATGTTTATAGCTTTAAAGTTTTTTTTTCGTCCCATCTCCGCCAGGGCGTTTTGGTTATTGTTTATACTTTATTGTTTTATGACGAAGCTAGAAAACACAACAGCTATATTTGAAACATCTCACTCTGCATACACGCCTTGCCTTCTATTCTTTTCATAAGCTGTATTTCTAACTATCTGTACTTTTTATATAAAATCTCAACGTTCTTTATATTATGTACTTTTAGTAGATAAGTCTGATGAAGGACATACACCCAAAACGAATCAAATAAGACACGTTTTTGTTATGCACGTCTCTTTTAACTTTTTACAGTATTTCTTCCAATGGGTCTAATGATTTTATCTTGAGTTGCTTGAAAGCACCTATTCTACTTGTGTGTTTTTGTTGTTGTTTTTGTTTCGATTTTTCCTCTAGAAGTGAGTTGAGCTCAATTAAACCCGATTTTTTCCTCCACAGCTTTAACTGGAGATAGTTCTGGTCATCTTAACTTCAAACCCAGATATTCTTTGGTTGAGGTGAGAATTTATTTTATTGCTTATTTTGCATCACAACCGATTCGATACTTACTAATTAAAAATATTATTCTAATTTATACCAGCTACGTATTTTAAATAATGTATACATCTTAAAACAGTGTTAAGTATAATAGGCCTTACGACAATTATCATTAATTATAATCATGCCTTGTCTGATTAGAAAAGACGTTCACACCATTATATGTGTTAAATATTATTATCTGAAAAATCTCAGACCTAATTAACTCTTCTCTAGGCATTGCAACAAACGTTGAAAGAATTTGATATTATAGATGCTGTTTGGACTTCTTCTGAGAATGACAAAGTTTATCAGGTGATTATAAATTAAGCTTTGCTTTACTATTCGAAATAGACATTTGCACATGGTGTTCGCATGTTAATATTACCATTGGTATAGTTTATCAGAATATTTGTACTGGCTATTAGTATTAAAAAGTCGAATTTTCTACTGAATTATTGAGAATTGTTTTCGTGTTTGATATATTTTGTATATTTTTATTTGATGAGTAATTTTCAGTTGCTATATTGTTAAGCTACCTCCTTATTGTTTTTGTTTGTTTGATTGTTGGCTGTGCTAACCGCTTTGTTTAAATTTAATTTCATGTAGTAAAATTTAAAATTTACTTACAAAATTCTTGTAAATCTATTGATTTTCTAGGTTTGTTTGAAAGGGAAGTTTATATGAACTAAGACAATTAGATCTTTTGGATATGTTGATTAAACCTTGTATTCTCTAAGTAAGACAGAGTGTGTGCTTTTAATGGTGGATAGCACGTTTACTTATCAACAAATAGATATCACAAATAGTTATTTTTAACTAAATGCAAATAAGTTAAACGCCTCATTTTCATTTAAATTATTCAGATAAATTTTACTGGAATGTGGTTAAATTTTGAAATTTTCACTTTTCACCTTTTTTATTCACATTTTGCTGTATATTTTTCTCTATAATACACATTTACAAATAGTGGATTACAGAAAACTATATCTACAAATCAATTGAACATCTGTTTGGTTTTGTGAATAAACGTTTCAAACAGATATTTGTTGAATATTATATTGTTAGAAGGTTTAATCTCTCTTAACGTTCAATCACGTGATCGGGTACTTACTAATTTAAAACACAAAAGTAGAAAAAAGAAAGAAAATTATTAGGACAATTTAAAAATTAATTAGATTGTATTTCTATAACTAAGTTTATGTCTCTCAGTGGGTCAGCGGTAAGATTACGGAATTACAACGCTAAAATCTGATGTTGGATTCCCTGCGGCAAACAGAGCGCAAATGGCTCATTGTGTAGCTTTGCAACAGCAAAGAACGATAACCTAAATTAATATTGAGAACTATCTTTTCAAATAAACAAATAACATTTTACACAATGTATTTTATTAGGTGTTTTTTCCATGCCAATCTGCACATGATACCGACGAGCTTTTAGAAAAATTAAGGTCCTACGAAATATCCCAGAAAAATGGATCCTCTATTGGGTATGTACCGTTTCATGCTCGGTTTAATGCTATAAATATAACTGACACTTCAAAACTTTAATAAAGAAATAATATATCTCTCTCTAAAGGGAATCGTCTAAGAAAACTATTATTCAAGCAAGTAGTACTTCGAAATATGTTTTGTATCTAATATGAACCCCTAAGTCTAAGAAGAAGAAAAGGGAATTTTTTAAATAATACTAATTTGCCCCTATTAACAACCATGTAGAAAGTTAATGTATTGAATATTTTTTTTTCTACAATTATATTTTGTTTATTTCAAAGAAAATGCAAAAAATTAAACTCGAATTTGAACTACGAAAACGTTTACTGCAGTAAAAAGTAGCACTTGGTAATAAGTGTTCAGATATAGGATTTAAAACGACAGTGATGATGTTTTTGAATAAATAAAAATTATTTATTTTAAAAAGTATTACAGAAACTAAAAATGGTGGACCCGGGTTTCGACTAAATAATTCTCCTTGTAATTTGCTTATTATGCATTCAAGTTTGTATATGGTTTTACTTCTGATCACCAAACATGCCCGCCCTTTCGGCGGCGGGGCTTTATCATGTTATGGTCAATTCCACAATTTGTTGGTTAAGTAAAGAGAAGTCCAAGAGTTGCCGGTGGGTGTTGAATAACTACTTTCCCTCTAGTCTATCACTGTTAAATTAGGGACGGCTAACACAGATAGCTCTCGAATAACGTTGCGCGAAATTCGAAACTAACCAATCTTCTGAAAACATCACACGAAGGTTTGAAAATATGATCACACATTTTAAAAACGTTACAAAAACAGTTGTGCTAGAGAATAAAATGCAAGATTTAAACCAATAAAATCATCTTTATTTTGATCAATATACATTTATGATAACGTAAGTACTTTTGTATTTCTTGTTATCATAAATGTTATCATATATAAGATACTTGTATACTAGTGTTACGACAGCAGAGGTCACGTGACGCTTATATCACGCCACTTCCTTCTCGAACCTTCATGAAATGTCGGGAGACTACTACTTGGGGTTGTCTTGTATATATAAGACCGGCCAAGAAAC